CTCTCCTCCTCATGTATATGTATACTGTATGTCTAACTCTTGCTCTTTCTTTTTTCTTCTCTAGGTATACATGTACCTCTCAGTCTCACATGTCTTCACTCTTTCTCGCGTTAGCGCAAGTGAGCAGCTGTATACATCAGCATTGTTATTATTACAATATTATTATAGGCATAACTGCATTGTCTGTTGAGGTCCCATCAAATGCACTTGCTGAAATATCTGGCAAATATTGTGGGAACAGAAACACATGCTAACAAACGTTGTGGTAAGACACAATGCACACTATAGTACATTACATATATATACACACATGTACATGTAAAGAGAGTAGGATATATCTTTTGGTCAGTAATTTATTGTGTCATTTATTGTACAGGAGAATGGAAAGACAAATACTTGCCAATTAATGATAAAAGAAATGCCTAATTTGAAGAAGTAAGTGTAGCATCAGCATCGTATACTTAAATTACTATCTCTGTCTCGCTCTCTTAATACAGTGAATTACACTTATTTTCATAATCAAGAAGCTGTGAGACCTTGTTTTATGTACATTCAATTATTCTTTTTTTGTATTTATTAGGATGTGTCAAGATGAACTCAAACAATGGAACATTTTATATAATTTCTGTACTTGTTGAATGGGCTGAAGCATTCATAATGGTATGTGATACATACATGTATGTAATGTACATGTATTTGAGTGAATGGAACACTTTTTAATTGTAATGGAACAGAATTGTCACATGTCTATGTCACTGACTCACTGATTGAGTACAGCACAAGTACATGTATACATGAATGCAATTGACTAGTTATATCATTATGTCTCAAACCCATTATCGATGAGTACTGACAATCATTACTTGTGTTATAAGTTTGAATTACCATTAAATTCACTCCCTCTTTTTGTCCTTTCTGTTTCTCTATCTTTTTAGTGTCTCCATATCTTGTTATACCAAGCTTAGGACTGATGTCATCATTAAGTCTTAGATTCAAGCAAGTTCAAGTCGTATTTACCTCTTTATATTTGAGTGAAAAGACATCAAGATCACATTACAAACATTGTTCTTTTTTAATAAAAATAATTGTCATAAATTGTCTTACAAATGCAGCGAATGACCAGCAATATACAGCAGCGTATTATAATGCAAACACAATTGAAGTCCATATGAACTGATGGCAAATCATTCTACACATCTATCAATGCTATGCATCAACAGACATGTCAAAGCTGT